AGAGAGAGAGAGAGAGAGAGAGAGAGAGAGAGATTAAACTTGGTGTCCGTGAAACAGTGCTCGATACAAATAGTAGAGTGGGTATAATGTGTGGTAGGCGGAAAAAAACAACTACATATACAGCCTTACAGACCTGTTTTCGTGGTTCTAGGATATATGGTTAAGAGCGGAAGTATTTGTCGATATACTTTCACGTATTACATTTATTCTCAGGAATAAAAAAGAGGCAATTGATATTCATGATTTCTCTGCTGTTTAGACAACGGTGTTAAAAACATGTATATCAAACCGGAACCGTTACTTCAGGTAGCTCCAAATAAAATCCCCCAGACGAACGACTCGTTCCACCGCTGCATGAGTATAACATTTACTGTTTCCACTTAGTTTGCTAACTGTTGGCTTTATCAGCCGATCATATACACTTTTTATTACTTGTTATTTTTGTTCTTACATGTGTATACCATAATCATCAAATTTATTGCGTCCTACTTAATGAGAACGCATACTATCCGTGTTCCTTCTTTCGGGATGCTGTGCAATTTTAGTGTTTCGGCGCCATCCTGGACTCATTTATTCTTTTCTTTTTATCCCGCAGTTGTGCAAAGCTGCTTCAGAACAGCAAAAAAAGGTAAGTGCTTTATTATCAGCTAACTGAGAAAGGTTAAAAAACGATAAATGAATAGAAAATAACTTTCAGATAGTTAATACCGTTCCTATACCAGAATAATCCCCAGTATTTTGATTTTACTCAAGCTATGGGATGCATGTGTAGTCATTTCCCACGCTTCCAAGTTTTATTCGTCGAGAGACGGATCCGGACAGTCAGGCAAAAAAAATGAACGTCAATGTTAACTTATCAAGAAAAAAACAGAATTATATGTATTCTCTCTTTCTAAATTACAATTCAATTGAAAAAACAATTTTTTTTCCTGTATTCTTCTCAAAATTGATTAAAGTTCTATATTGTTCAATTCATGCCACTTTGTCTGAGAGCCGATTGTTCATTTACTTTATTTCGCTGCAATTTTTGTTGTACTGCAGATGACAAGTGTGCAACTGTCCCATCATTGAAGCCAAATGAATGTAGTGGTTTGAACTGCACAGGACTTCCCATGCAAAAATGGCGCAAGATAAAATGCCTTCCTTTTTCCTCCAGTGGTCGCATAGGTTTATGGTGCGATAGAATCGCTTCCTTTTTCTGTGGAGGAGGGACTCGTCCTTGTATTGAAGCGTTTAAAGCCAATAAAAGTTCTTCAAATCAGATCTATAACAAGATCAGCACCGAAAAATTCATCTTCGAAGCAGAACACTGCAGATTTTTCGAATTTGTCATTAAAAAGAAATCGAGGGACCCGGGTACGTTTATTTACGAAAGTAAAAAACCGTCTGCTTCTTTTAATTTTTCTTCTCTTCTTCTTCCTCTTCTTATTTTTGTTATAATATTATTGTGTTCTTTTTATTATTATTACTATTATTATTGTTATTATTATTATTATTATTATTATCATTATTTCGTAACTTCTTTATTCTTTACTACATTGAGATAAAATGTGGTTAAATACGCTAAGAAAGGTACAAATTTCGTTCGTCTTTAGCGCATTATAACTGTTCAGCGATACTAGTAGTGTACCGTGTTTTTACATGTTATTTTCCGAAAGAAGCAATGAAGACTGCAAACTATTCTATGGTCTAGTGTCTCTGTGATGCTCAAAATTCTGAAACAAAACGGTGTTATTTCTATAGAACTAGATAGACATGAGGAAACCTCTGAGTAGGGATACCACCTAATGTCAAAACTTTCACCTGATATCATTGTAATTGTGCGCTTTTCATATTCTTGGCTTTTATCTAGATTACAGCTGTACCGTCGGAAATTTAAATCATTCAAACAAAATTAATATTAAGGTAAGATTTTCAATCGATAGTCAATATATTTACTTGACTCTGATGATGACTTCCGCGCAGGTTGTCAAAACGTCGGTCACCACCACCAACAACTGTCTTTCTCAGGACTACAGTCACCCGGACGATCGCACTAGACTTTCACATGTCACCCTCGGGTTCAAACCATTTACTATATCAGTTAGTTGTGTTTTACATGGTAGGTTTGTCAATTTGCAAGTTTGCTATCCTAATTTTTTGACTGTTTGAATGTTTGCTCATATTATGCGGCTGTCCTCTCCTACTTTTTTTGTCTTAAATGCGACAGTGGCGAGAACCCAAGATATGTAAGTTAACCAGAAAAATCGTGTATCAAACGGGTAATTTTGTACTGGTCACTATCCGAAAAGGTTAATTTTATACAGAATTAGTTACTATCCAAAACTCACTTAATCCTGCTTCTTTTCCTCAAGGATGCAAAAAAACAGTTTGGAGCTTCAATCCGAAGTACATGGTGCAGCAGCCCAGGAACGGTCGAAACTTCATCAATGGATCAAAAATTGCAGGATATATTTTTTGCTGCGTTTATCCTTGAAGAGTCTTTGTTAAGCTTTGGCAGTAATCAGCTGAACGGGACAAATCCCGAATTCCTCGATTTCGATGAAGATCTGAGTAAGTGCAAAATAGTAATGCTTCGTCTTTTTGGAAAAAGAGCTTTATTATGTATAAGTTCNGAACTCAATTACATTGTGTAAGTGATGTCTTAATTACATATTATAGCGGACGAGATTTTTGGATCTGAATTCGTGTCTTTTGTTAAGTCCGTGGGGACTAAGTGTACAGAGTTCTGCGGTCCAGTAGGCCTCTCTCGTAAGTAATAATCTATCAATATAAGCTGCGTCCCCTTGGCTGGTAATTTTCTCAATAACAATGAAATTAATTTCAGAAATTTCGTGTTTGGTACAATTGAAGTGGACTGCATGCTCGCACGTTGTTTTGTTTGTTCGCATAGATGACTTGTCATTACGAAAACGCACCTTGAATTCAGTGGAAGTAGAACCCGCGTATTGTAATTTGCATTTCTTGCACGAGGCCAAGTAAACAACATTTCTGGAAGAGAAAGACAAGTTTTGGAAAATCTTATAGGTTCGGCCTGTGGAAAAACTCTTAAATTTGGAATCTTGAATTCAAAAAGTCTTGCAAAGTTCGCATCTAGAAGAGGATTTCAAGCACCCTCCCGTTTCCTTCTCTGCCTGACTAACTTTCCCATCTATACAAAATCTAGAAGGCGCCAAAATATCTTTCAGGTTTTTGGTACGGCGATATGCTGGAAAAATCGATTTTGATGGAAAAATTTCCAATAACTCAGGAGACGATCTTAAGAGATGAGCATGCTTTTGGATAACCCTCTGAATATCAGGGAGGATAGGATTGTAGTCGAGGACTAAAGAAAATACTTTTTCGTTGGACTTGACATTGTTCTTGAGGAGTACTGATCTTTCAAATCTCAGCGCTCTGTCAAATTGATTGTCTACCAAATCTGCATTATAACCCTGGGATTTAAGATACACTTTACATTCAACACATCTCTTGTAAAGGAACTCATCCGTAGAACAGTTACGTCTAATGCGTAAAGCAACTCCGTAGGGAATTGCCCTTTTACAGTGTGCCGGGTGCGAACTGGAAAAGGGTAAATAAAGATGGCTATCTGTAGGCTTAGCATAAATATCAGTATTTATGAACCCGTCTTGAAGGTGCAGTGTGAGATCCAAGACATTGAGGGTGTGCTCAGAGTACACCAGCTCAAATTTGATAGTGGGATAGAGGGAATTAATGTACTCGGTAAACTCTAATAACTTAGTAAAACCATGTGTTCAAAGATCGAAAACATCATCCCTATATCTCCACCACAACAATGGTTTCACACCACCTCCAAATTTAACTTTCTCATCAATTAATCCCATAGCCAAGTCGGCATAGCTGCATGCGTTTTTGGGGCCCATAGCCGTACTATGTTTTTGCACAACATTTTTCCCCGAAAATTGTCAATTTTGGCTTGGAGACAAATTTCGATTGCCTCAACAATGCATTCGGTGGATGGAAATTTGATCGATCTAGAATCAAGAGCTTTTCTAACAGCTGAAATGCCTAAGTTA